TTAGTTACGAGGCGACAGTAAAAATTCGATTCGCTCGACTTGATACTGATCCAAGAAAACCAATTTGGTTTCTATAACATTCGATTTTCAAGGATCATTCTTTACATTTTTTCTCAAATCATATTTTTAAAACTTCCTTGAATTTTTTCAGCTTTCAATTGGTATACAAATAGATTCTTCATTAATATGAAGAAATACTTCTGTGGTGCAAAATTCTTGTTCTACATTAATAAATGTATATGATAACGATTTTGCCTTTAACAAGAATCAAAAATGTTCTAGGTCGAATAAGAACCATAAATATTTTGAAAAATACGATTACACAAAGAAAATGTTGAGTCACCATTAATCCTCTATGCAGGATCTATTTCATACTCTTCCTCTGTTTTGTTGAAGTCATACAAGTTGTTTCTTCTTTCTTGGCTTCAACCCTCACTTATTTTACAAAATTATTGAACAGTTGCAAGTACCAATTTTACATCCCATTGTGCTGATTGTCTTCAAAGTTGTTTCAAGTTGTTCATTGAAAATCAAAACAGCCAAAAAAGTAACAACTTGCGCAATTTTTTGGACTAGAACGTTTCGGCGTTAAGCATAATTCTAGCTAGAAAATAAAACCTGGGTTGGTCTTCACTCATTTTGCAGTTTGATTTCATTTACTGTGGTGTAAGATTTGTTCCTCTGGTCGTTACATATTTAGGGTCCCTAGATCAACTGCAATATTATCTTTTTTCCGCCTTCTCTTTAGAAACTCTTCCCATACCAACTTGACGACATGTTTGACTTGTCTTTTAACATGGCCAACCCATCTCAATGTTTTTGACTCTATTACATTTACTGTATTTGATGTCCTCATTGTACACTGCTATGTGATATTGTTCTTGACTGGTACGTATATTCCTCTAAGCGATTTTTAGTCGATTCTCATTATGTGATATATTCTTATCCTCGTGCGACGGGATAGACTTTTCAATTCCACTCCATTTTAAAGTATACATTTTCTTTTGTCTTCGTTGATTTGCAAGCTAACTTCCCTTACAGCAACTTCCAGTTTAATGAACTCTTACTTGATACCGATAGTTACATTTCCCACTATATCTCTGTCATCAGCGTGAGTCAGTATAATTCGAGGATCTTGATTTCCATGATTTTGAGGTCCAGCACATTTGAACATATTAGTTGCGGTAGATTTACTTTTATAAAACTCATGTTGAGCATAGAAAGCAAACTACAATTCGAGTCTTCAGGATCAAGTCTTCGGAAACAATACTGCCAATCTTGCATTATTACAGTTTTTGGTGATATAGATTCGTACAATGCCTCTAGAGCGCAATGATAATTATCTCAGTTAAGGATAGCGATCAAAGCTGCATTGCGTCTGTCATTATCAAGACGTTCTAATTCTTGTTAGAAAGAAGGATAAATAGAAGTTGGATATTTTAATACCAAGCCATCACCGTTATGATAATACAAGTGATAGAGGTTCTGCTGGGTTGTATTTAGTCTTTTTCTTTAGCAATCATAGGTAAACCATTCAAGAAACGAAGAATCTGACTATTCATGTTGTTGCTGCCCACGAGTAAAAGGATCGAAATATCGTAATGGACTTCATACAAAGAGCAAATAAAATATCCCGCCTAGAACATATCTCTAATGAAGAAATCATAAGACGCACAAATCGCGTCTACACTAGCAGAGAAAATAGACATCACAAAACTGATATGGGATGGAGACGTCATGCAAATGAGAGAAAATACATGGTTCAAGAAAGCACTAAAGCACAGAATAACCAGAAAGGACACTGGGGTTATTCCACGAAAATTCTGTCTATGCGACGACGCCATGTTTTAGAAGATACATCTTGTTGTTATTGGTTCTCTCAATAATCTGGCAACGTCGCTCCCTTATCTCGAAAGAAGCGAAGCGACCGACGTTGCCAGATCGTTAGGTCAGCTTCTTAAAGATGGCGGAAGGTCAAAAAATGCGGTTCCTCGAACATCAAAGGAACCGACATCAGTGTCATTTCTGATTATTCTGTGAGTGTTATTCATCAGTGCCGAAAATGGTGAAGACATAGATGAAAGGTAAACGTGATACAATGAAGGACAAAGCCATTGAAGAGGAAGATGGCAATAGAAAGGAAGTTCTTTGAAATAACTTTTAGTAACTTGAGGTGAGTGTTGTTAGTAAAAAAATAGATAATTTCATCAACAATATCATCACGGTGCAGTGTTTCATCTCTCTGGGTTGCATTGAACGAGCTCCGTGGAGGAAACTTTACTTATGTTTATGTCGCTCAAATTAATCATCTCTCAAATACGGTCAACGACCGAATGCAATCTGTGTATGGAGCATTTTAGGAAGTTGATACAAAACGTTATTAGTAACCAAGCACTCAAAATATCCACTGAGTGACCTGCCCAAATGTTTCAAAAAAATTACTGTCACTTTCACTATTCAGTATTCTTGGCAGAAATATGCACTGATTTTCTAAAACTTCCAATCCAAACATTCACAAATCAACGTATTTGTGTCAATTTTCGTAACAATTTCACCGAAGTATAATATGGGGATAAAATAGTACTAATAATTATTATTATTATTTACCATTTATTGCCACAGATAAAAATACAAAATTACATAAGATACACTTAACTTAAACAGTAAGCAGTATCAGCAAATGGATCATTTTATCGCACAAACGATCTCTGCCAAATGACCCAACAGAACAAACAAAACATCACCAAATACGATTAAGCAAGAAAAAGAAAAACAAAGAGAAAAATAAAGAAAAGACACGAAAAGAGAGATAGAGAGCGGCTAAAAGAAACCAAAAGAATCTGCCGGATATCAGTTGCCAACAAGTGAGAGCAGATGAAGAGAGGAAAAAAGAGAAAGACAAAGAACAAAGAATCAGGAAACAGCTAGTTGAAGGGCAAGCAAGTGGCTCTTTAAAACATGTCTAAAATTAGTAATTCTAGAAATATTACGAATTTCAGAAGGCAGTCCATTCCACAGCGCAATCGACTGTACTGTAAATGATCTATGATAAATTTCAGTGCTATGAACGGGAAATGTAAGAATAGTATCAGAACGTAAACGAGTAGCAAGCTCATGAGTTGATAATTGCTGGAACCTATCTGATAAGTACTTAGTAATAATGATGGTCGGCGTAAACAAAATATAGAAAAGCTCAAGATTGTTCAAAAGATTACAATATGTGTAGTATGGATACAAAGTTGTTTGTTTGAAGACATCAACAGAAAGATGAAAACAACTTTTATTTCCTTTTATCTTTTTATTCGTAGCAAAAGTATATTGGTGGTAGAATTATTCTACACATCTTGCAATAACTGTGAACGATTTCAACAATGTATAGTCTGAAGCGATCTCCACAGAAAGATTCGAAAATTGTTCTCTGTACAAACGCTCGACGTATTCTTTGTTAATAGTATATTTTGCCATTTTGAATTTAAATCCTTTCGAAGGATTGACTAGTATTTGCTGAAACAAATAGTTCGCAGCAGTGTTTTCATTTTTGTCTTATTTTTAATTATAGAACTACATATATGAGGGCTGGGAAGTGAGTAATTGACCATTTATTTGTGTCATTGCACAAATACTCTCATTCTTCCCTTTCCTATCTGCTCAGTCATTTAGCAACCCCTCTCCACACTATGTACAGTCCACGTAAAGTTTCGTTACGATTTCAGGTTCACTCCACTTTACATTCATTCATTCATTTAATTCTTTCCACGTGTTATCTTGTTGTTCTTATAGCCATGTCGTAAATAGTTATTACGAACGCTTCCTTGTCATGCAGTTTGATTGCCGTGTTTACTTCATTTTGGCTTTATTGATTCACCTTCCGCCCTTTCTTTAACTAACAATGTTTGCCTTTCTATCTAGGTTCTACCAAAGAAATTCCGTTAAACTTCTATATACACTCCCAAAATTATAATCATTGTTAGTGATGTCAGCCATATTTTACTATAATATTGTACTTTGTGCCTTTGTATTTTCCTTCTTTCGTATTGATCTCCGTCAAGTTTTATTTTTATACAATTTTTGAAACTTTCTTTTAGTTTGCGATTTCATTTTCGTTCCATTCAAAAGAAATAGTTTGTTCAAACCACTCCAATTACTTTTTAAATTGTTGGCGTTCGCTATCTCTTCTGGTTTCTATTCTGTTGTTTCTCCTCATAATTGCTAAACTTATGGGTATCTTTTGTGCACTGTCCTCATCTTTTTTCAATATTTGTCATGTTATATGGGTAGTGGTATATGTCCAAATTAATCTGAAGTGTCTAGAAATCATTCTATGGTTTTTTGCTTCACATATAAGACTTCAAATTTTTACTGTCACTTCCATAACTAGATTCATATTATCTCCTGTTCTCTTTGGCATTTTAAGTCGAATGGTTCTATCCATTAAGAATTTTTCACACTTTATTTACTTCTCTTAGGTTTACTTTCTAGGTAGATAGATCATCCTCTGGTAATGAATAAGCCTAATGAATTGTTATCTCTCGGACAACATATCTCCATCTAAGATTTGATCAACCTCACCTTGTGTTTATCTGAGCATTCATTACCATCATTAATGCTCCCTGGGGAATGGCATCACAACAAGATCTTATTTCGTGTCATTAACAATTACTTCCAACATATTATATTGCATGCTTTTCTGATGTATATTTCCATTTTAAATTCAATCATAGATGGATTGATTAGGTTGGTCTGACTAATACATACTATTTTCAACAATTCGATATTTTCAATCCACTTATTTTCCCATTACCACCAGTAGCTATCAATCTTTTAGTAGTAGCCCAATTTATAGAAATGATTTGTTATGGCCTCCATTGCAATGTGGCTAGATAACCAACATATTATTTCTGTCAGAAAGATAACGTCATTTAAATTTATTTTTGTTGGTTGTTTTGTTTTCTTGTAAATCTCCGAAATACAACAAACACAGCTATGTCGTATGACATTACTTGCTGATTTCGTCGTTTAGAGTTACTTTGGATTTCTATGAATAGTGATAAAATTTACTCTTTCTTTTTTGAATCAATTAAACAAGTTTATCGTTTGACACAGACATTAATGATTTAATGTTCACAGAGTTACAAGTCTAGGTAAAAAAATAGTATCTAAAGCATTGAAATGGCATCGTAATCTTTAATGCAATTTCACTTTATCGCTGTTTCACTTATAACAGCAGATACGATAAAATGTTACGGAGTTGAGGATAAAAGACTTAATGGAAGCTGGAAACAACCGGTAACATACTGCTTTACGATGTATACTTTAAAAGGATTTGAGTTAAAACTTTTATTCATGAAGTAATTTCTACTGCGCTGAAATGTTGGTTTAAAACGGCATGGTTGACGTCAGATTATGGTGTCCACAGTTTCCTTTTTTCCAATAATGAACAGGAAATAGTGTCTCGGGTTTAGTCAGAAAATAAAGCTAAATTTTATTATAATGTAGTTAGTAGGTAATGTCATGAATTAAATGACGTAAGATATTTTCAGACTTCTCGAAAACTTAGAGGTAGGTGTTTCAAGTTAAAGCTGAGTTGCACCAAGAAACAGGTTGGCAGATATTACAGAGACTATGGTCTCTGTTTAGGAGCTTAAATGTTAGTTACTACCTACGTGATGAAAATTCATTGAACATTGGAGTTTTCATTAATTAAATTAAATAGAGTGCTTTCTCTCTGTGCATTTGTATTACTTCTTATCAATCTGGGTTTTATAGTAAGCATAGTTATAATGGAAGTTGATGTGAAGGAAAATATTTGCTTAATCTTATTGAATTTCTGACAAAAGTTTTGTTCCATGCTATTGTTCCTATACAGACTGTACCTCTTCAGATATATTCCAATGATTATCAACTTTGTTATGGTCATTGTGATAATGAGACCCACTAATCTCATTATTGTCTATCTCGATATCCATCTGTATAAATTCCTAGAAGTTTTTAATTTGATGTGTTCGAAAAATAACAATCTAATTATAACTTTTGAGATATGCAAAATCTTTTATAATCATCAATTTTTAAATCGATTTCACAAGAAATTGATAATTTAAAAAAATTTTCACAATCTTTTAATCAAAAAATTATTTTTCATGACCTTTGATTAGCAAACTTAGTCACGTCTTATCTTTAATCCTGTATGAATTATTATGCATCTGTAACGTCACTTGAACGATAAACTAATAAAATCGAATTGAAATCGAAACGAACCGAATAAATAATCAATTTTAACACAATTCCCTGATCTAGAAAGTAACAATTCAACGTTGAGGCAATCTAATCTTGAAATGAAAATGTGTACATACATACATATTATAATGTTATATCGCAAAAACAATGGCCTTATCAGATCGTTTTATATTATATTTTTAGAGATAACGAAAAACCTGTGACGATGGAGAAAACCTTCAGTATTCGTCGCGTTTTTAACTAAACGTGAGTCCGACCAAAAAAATGTTAAATAATACTCAAATTAATAGTGATTCAAATAGTAATAATAGAAAAAATAAAAATACTAAGCGTACTCCTTTAAACGTTGATAATTCGAATGATAAATTTTCTAAAAAGTTTAGGTTGAGTTTTCGGGGTAGTAAAAAGGAGAAAAAAGATGGTAAAGATATTATTGTTAAAAATAATACTAGTAATAAAAGTGTACAATGTGATATTCGTCGAAGTAGTAATAGCGAAAATAAAGTAACAAGAGACAATAAAATCATAAATGTCGAGAAGAAAGATAAAGTGAAAAGTGAGCAACTTTCGGACGATGAAAAAGTGAAAACCAACGATGACAACAACGTTAGCATCATAATAGTGCGAGATATACTCGAAAATTTAGTTGAAGACATGTGGAAAAGTGACAAAAAAATAGATGTTAAACTAAGAAGCAATAAAAATTTGGATAAAACAAAAATAATTAATCATCGAAGAACGTCGATAACGGATTTACCTGAATCGGCTATAAAAGAAACAACCACTAAAATAGAAGAGCTACAAGATTACAAGCCGGATATGGGTCGAAGGGATTCTTTGTATTCCGTCGAAGAATACGACGAAAATTTAGACGAAAATGAAAATAAACTACGAATCGAAGCCATCAATCCTTTAGTAAAATCACCAAAACAATTAAAAAAGAAAAATTCCTTTTTTAATTCGTTATTCAGAAAAAAACCGGACGCACAAAAAAAAGATAACAACCAAAATCAACATGGCTTAAGACGATACTCATCGTCTTTAGAATTATCCACATCGAATCAACTTCGCGATAAAACTTTAGATCGATCTATAAAACGAAAATTATCGAAAATTATTAAAGAAGATACTCCAGCGTTGATTAAACGATCATTTAGCGTTAGAGATGTTAACAATAAACGCAAAGAAACTAATTTGAATGAAATGCAATGGAAACAATCATTACAAAGTCTCGTCGAAAATGATAATACCGTTAGTTATGATGATATGAGCTTTATTAATTACGATACTTTAAATGCTGTTAATTATGATGATGAGAATAGATTTGCAATACGTAATTTACATCGGACACAAAGCTTAATCGTGCATGTAAGTATACTTATTAATTTTAGTGATTTGAATTATAATTTGTGTATCTAAAATATGTAGCACAACAAAAAACAAAAATCCCTTTTGAACAATTGAACATGAAATTATAGTACAGTAAAACATCGTTATAACGGACTAATACGGGGAAGTCCGTATTAATCCGTTATTTAAAAAATGATTAGAGCCTTAGAGTTTCTTTGAAGATGGCTAAACCCGAATGTTTCTAGTTCCAGGTCTTGCATTAATTCTAGTGATAACGCTAGTGAAGACGCACGGCTAAACCCGATACTTTCTTGTTCTAAGTCTAGTGTTAGTTCTAGTTTTACAATAACATTATTACTAGAATTAACGCAAGACCTAGAACTAGAATCATTCGGGTTTAGCCGTCTTGAGAGACGTGCGGCTAAATCCGAATGTTTCTAATTCTCGGTCTAGTGGTAGTTGTAGTATTGCACTAGCACTATCACTAGAACTACCACAAGACCTAGAACTAGAATCATTCGGGTTTAGCCGTCTTGAGAGACGTGCGGCTAAATCCGAATGTTTCTAGTTCTCGGTCTAGTGGTAGTTGTAGTATTGCACTAGCACTATCACTAGAACTAACACAAGACCTAGAATTAGAATCATTCGGGTTTAGCCGTCTTGAGAGACGTGCGGCTAAACCCGAATATTTCTAGTTCTCGGTCTACTATTAGTTCTAGTTTTAATTGTTATTCAGCATTAGATTGTTGTATATTTTTTATTAAAAACTAGCACTTACACTAAAGTTAGAACTGGTCTAAAGACGCACAGCTAAACCCAAAACTTTCTAATTCTAGGTCTAGTGTTAGCTCTAGTTTTAGTTGTTATTCAACGATACATTGTTGTATATTTTTCATTGAACTAAAAGTAGAACTAACACTACACCTAAAACTCAGACAAATAATTAGTTCAACTACCCGGGTTACTAATACGACAAGCACATTAATCGACTATATTATTACTAATTTACTATTTTACTACGTCTAAGAATGCGGATGTCATTCTTTCTACGATGTCTTGGAATGGAACTGTTGTCGGCGACGGTGTGGGAGTATGCTCATTGTTCGCTGATTTCTTTTCTTCGGTTTTTGTTAATTCTGCTCCAATCCAGCAGAATGTAGATTGTGTAGAAATGGTTGCCCTTCCTTTGAGTCAGATGCGGTTTGACAGAATTGAGGTTGAGGAGGACCTGATGGGCGGCAGGGTTACAGGCAGTATTAGTTTACTGATGGTATTCCATCAATTTTAATCAAGGAATGTTTACACTCTCTGTCCCTTCCTTTAACTATTTTATTTAATGCTTCATTAATAATGAGCGTCTTTCCTTCATTGTGGAAGCGGGCTTTTGTTCTTCCCATTTTTAAATCGTCCCCAGATTTGTTATATCTGGTGGTGTTATATCTGATTACCGCCTCATATTTATTTTGCCAGCATTTGGGAAAGTGTTTGAGAAAGTAGTTCATGCACGTCTATTCTTTGCCCTTAAGTCTAAAATCAATTGTAGACAACATGGTTTTTTTGCTGGTCACTCGGTTGAGAGTAACTTGCTTGAATATACTCAGTACATCTTATATTCTTTGGATGATTCTTGTCAAGTTGATTCAGTTTATACGGATTTTAGTAAAGCTTTCGACCGGGTGGATCACAACTTACTTCTGTTTAAACTAACCAAGTTTGGTGTTCAGGGGAAACTTTTGCAATGGTTTGCTTCCTATCTGAAGGAGAGATGCCAGATTGTTTCGGTTAATGGTTTTTATTCTAATCCTGTGTCGGTTCCTTCTGGTGTTCCACAGGGTAGCCGTCTGGGCCCTTTACTCTTTAATATTTTTGTTAACGACATCTTTGACGTCGTTAATTATGCCCAATGTTTAATTCTCCGTATCTCCTTACCTCTTGATTGTTCTAGACTGCAATCTGACTTAAACAATCTACATGCTTTTTGCTTAAATAATCGCCTTTCATTAAACTTATCAAAGTGTAATATTATTTCCTTCTCTAGGAGGGTGAACACAATCCACTACAATTATAGCGTCGCTGGTGAGAGGTTGCCTGTCACTCTCCTTTATTGAGAATGGCATTATCAGCAAATCGTGTTAACATAGATCTGTTTCAGCATTCTTTCTATGCATTTAAAAAACTGCTCTTTGCTGCAGTTGGTGTGTTGTCTCGAGCGTTCATTTGATATATGATATATTTATATCACCTAGACCTAGTTTTAGTTTTTTCTTTTGATTCACTTTTGTACCATTAATATTAATTCATTATTATTATTGTGAACTGTAATTTTATTTGTTTACAATTGGTTATTTGTTGTACAGTGTCTGAGTCTAATGCGATATTTTAATTTCAAATTTGAGGTTGTTGCTGGTTGTGCGTATGATTCGGAGCTTTAGTAGAATTGATGATAACTCTTTGCAAGTTACTTTTTAAAATTTGAATGATATACATTACAACGTGGAGTATTAGCAACATTATCTCTTAAGCTTGTTAGATTACCATGCACCCTTTCGACCAGTTTAGCCTACGTTTAGCTTCGAAGCCATTTGCTCCATAGTTGATTGATAATGAAAAGTTTATGATGAATTTGTGTGATAAAGCGATAGCGAGGTTCAAAAGAACTAAGTAGCCGACACATTTTGATTACTACAAATCATCGAGAAATCTAACATCTGTTATATGTCGTGAGAAGAAATTGTATTTGTCAACTACACTAAGGTATTGTAATGCAAAAACCAGCTGGAGACTTCAAAACAAAAACCAACCCAACCCTCTATTCCCTCTAGACGTAAATAAAATTAACGATTTTTTACAATCTGCTAGAAGTTTGGTTCCATGTAATGATTTACTACAATTCTACAACTCTAATGAGCACATTCCTGAGCATTGTGATAAATTTCAATTTAATTTTGTAAATATATCAGAAATATCATTGGTATTAAGATGATGGCATCTGATATACATGCTACAATACATTACTCATGTGGTTAATTGTTGTATAGAACAATCCATTTTTCCCGATTCATGGTAGATTGCTCTTGACGCCTTTACCTAAAAACTCGACTCCCTTAGAAATTGAGGATTTTCGTCTCATAAGTATCTTGCCAGTTCTTTCTAAGGTGTTAGAGCATTCTATGGAAACGCAATAACGCAAATATATAGATTACAATAATATACTACCCTCTATTCAGTCTGGTTTTCGCACTAATCATAGTTTTGACACTGCTGAATGTAACCGATGACATAATAAATGCTAGAGTTAAACACTTATGTACTGTTCTGATACTATTGGATTACAGCAAGGCCTTTGATAAAGTAAACCATCAGATGCTCATAGCACAATTGCATTACCTTGGAGTGTCTGGTTCGGCGATCAGTTTGATTTCGAGTTTCTTGCTCGGGCGCAGCCAGATTGTTAACTTTAAGTTAACTCTTTACTTATTAATGCCGGTGTGCCACAGAGGTTTATTTTAAGACCCCTGTTGTTCTCAATTTACACTTCCCAAATACCTTCATCTCTTAAACACTTATAAGTTCACATGTATGCTGATGATACTCAGCTACTCGCTTATAAATAACGATCTAAAATCGCTACTTGCTTATTATACTAGAATGGTATTGCATTTAAATACATCAAAATCAAAAATAGTATGTTTCGGTAATTTAAATTCAAGGGATGTAAATGTACTTCTGTACAAATTTTTCTAGAAGTAAGGAATCTTGGACTAGTAATGGACACAAGTTTGCGTTTCACAAATCATGTAACGGAATGTATTAAAAAAGCCTACTGTGCTCTTAGATGCATTTACTAACATTGGCACAAATTGTATGTTACTGTAAACAAAGAGTTGTGCGACAGTTTCTAATTTTGTTCATTGAGCAACACATGTTTGACGCAGTATGATATGAGCCGCATTCAGCGCGTTCAAAATAGTATGTTTGAGATTTATTTTTGGAATTCGTAAATTTGAACGAGTTTCAAAAACTAAACAGACTCAAATCTTATTTTCTATGTTTACTTAATCGAGTGACATTTCTATCTTCTCAACCGTACCTCTGTAGAAGAATTACATTTAGAACTGATGTACATAATACAAACGTTAGACGCAAACACATCATATCCATACTATCTTTTATAAAAAGATGTATTGTAGTATGCATCTTTTTTTATCATTCTTGCCCTGATCCAATAAAATGAAAAAAACCGAGTGCCTAAAAAGAGTCTCTGCTATGTCTTGCATAGTGTCCAAAATATGTAATCTAAGTCCTATGTCGTCAAGGTGAACTGATTTGATTTATGCTAGATTGACTTGCATTATATGATTATATTTTGTTTTAACGAGGTTCGTTATATCGAAGTTTTACTGTATTTATAAATTGGCTAAATTAAGTAAACACTCTAAATTTTATCTTTATATTAACCTTGCTTAAATAAAATTATTGATATCTAATTCATATCATAAAAATAAATAAATAGTAAAATTAGTTTACTCTTCCTAGAAATTTTTACCGGAGGATAAAGATTTCTCTTGAAAAATTTCTCGATAATCTAAAATATTTGCGAGTACCTGGTTGACAATGCGATTCCTTGGAAAAGTTTATTTCTAATAGTTCCTGAAGAAAAAAGCGTAGGCTTGCCTTTCACATTTAGAGTCATATAACCTCCAATCTCGTTTCATCCCTTTCAACAACCGAGCTATTCCAATTTCCAATTTTATTATTGAATTCCCTCCCCACCATTAAATTTATTTTACTATAGGTAGTAAGAAATTTGTAGTACCAGTTTTAATAACCATTTTAATTTTTTGAAATGAACTGATTTTTTATATTAAATTATCTAGAGATTTACAGATAACTTATTAATAGAGATAATTCTCATTTCGAGATAATTTTTTATTGTTCACTTTAAAAGTTTTAAATTAAAATCGATCGAAATTTGTTTAACATAACGCCTATTTGTCGCTTCATGTGAGTATTATCGT